CTCTCTCTCTCTCTCTCTCTCTCTCTCTCTCTCTCTCTCTCTCTCTCTCTCTCTCTCTCTCTCTCTCTCTCTCTCTCTCTCTCTCTCTCTCTCTCTCTCTCTTTATCAACTTAAAACTCAATATTATTTAACCGAATTCAAATTGAACGCAGAATATGGACTCATTACGGAGGCGCCGGTGATTACGCGCCCCCAACGTGGTGTCAGAAGGATTTGTACCTCGGGCCATCTTACAACGAGCTGATGAACGGCCGATACGCCCCGATTCCCATAAGATTCGCGGGCGCAAGCCTGGAAGATATCAAGACCGAGCTGGAGGATTTTTCTCCGATCAAGATCGAGAAGGTGACACGTAGCTGGCCCACGTGCCGGTGTTTCAAGGAGAAACATAAGAACGACGTTCTCTGCGACGTGCTGTTCATCAGGGACCACAATCGGAAATATTACAACACGAGCAAATTCTACACGACTTGTCAGGGTTGTCCCCGCAATCACTTGCAAGCGAAGATCTTGGAGGACAGGGCGATCGAGAAGAGGAGCGTGTGGTACAGGCAGGACACGTTGGACGAGGTGTTGGCGAAAGAGGAGAGGGAGGAGGCGAGAAGTCCCAAGAAGGGACTGACGAGAAGGATATCTCGATTCGGATTCGGGGTGCCGGAGAAATGCCACTCGGGATTGGTTCTCGGCCCCATTAACGCGGAACGTGAGTTTACCAGGGATATGAGCGCGAAACAGGTGCAAAATTTTTACGCTCTGATGGAAAACGGTGTGAAGATTTGGGAGGGTAAGAAGAAGGGTCGATGCAAGTCGTTGTACTGCAAACACTTCAGGAGATACGGTATCTGCACCGCCCCTCATTTCCACTACGCCCTCGGCCCCTGGTCGGTGCAACCCGGAGAACGATGCACCCTTCAAGGTCGAAGGTCCTTCAGCTTGGTCACGATTCGTCGGCAACCGATCGACTCGGAATTGAAACTTCCTGTATCCCGCCGCCAATTGGCGGCCAGTATTTCGTACACCGCTGTTCAATCGGGTAGGTTCGGCTCGATCGGAGCCACCACCAAGGGCCGTATCGTGCTGTTTTGGACCCCGGAATATTGGTACAGGCCCAAGCCCGCCTCTGCCGCTTACAGGTAACGAAAGGTAACGAATGAAAATGGTTGGAAATGGGGATTTAAATATCATCGTTGGTTTGTTCGCAACAGGGAAGTGAGGCAACACTTGACCCATTTGAGAAATTTTCGCCAAGAGAAGGAACGGCCGTCGAAACGGAAGTTATTCGGCAGGCGAAAGAATACCAATACGAGGATTCCATTATCGTCCCCGAGGAAAAGTACAGTTTCCTAGAGAGGATCTTCTCCGGGAATGGATCTTGCAAGAAGAAGAAGAAGTTGGAAAATCAAGAGAGCGGCACGAATGACCAGTTGAGACGATTATTAAGAATGGATTTCAGAATAACGATCTGGGATATAAACAGCGACATCCTGGCGATGCAGTTGACCCTGATCGACCGCGATCTCTTCGTTCGAATCCCGACCGAGGAAATCGAGACATTGGTGTTTCAAAGGAGTTCGAGGAACGCGCCCAACTTGGCGGCGTGGATAGCGTTCAGCCATCGTATCTCTTGCCTGATGGCGAGCGAAATTCTTGCCGTGAAAAAATTACCCATGAGAAGTAGGATTGTCGCGAGGCTGGTGAACGCTGCCAAGAAGTGTTACGCCATGGGAAACTTTCATTCGTGTAGATCGATCTTGGCCGGATTGCAGGCGCCACCGATTTTCAGGCTTCGAAAGACGTGGAATTACTTGCGTACTCATCACGCCAATAGGTATTACCTCGATTATTATCTCTCTCGTTGTTACGCGTTCTCTTATTACACGCGCAAACGTGGACGTATGTTCGAAATAAATAATCGTTCTTTTGACGATACGTTTAGATACGAAACCATGGAAAGACTTTGCAAGATTTACAAGCATCCGTGTACCCAGATGTATCGACAAGCTTGGGCCAAAGTCGAAACTTGTAATTCCTCCTTTATACCGTACGTGGGCCATCTTTTGCTCAGACTTTTGGATCTTGGAAATAATTCGAACGATTGTCACGACACCGTTGTCCACGTGCACGATGGAATAAAAAATGCAAACGATCTTTGCAAAAGAATGTCTATCGGCAAAATAAGCGCGTCGGATACGCGATTGAAAATTAATCAGAATAATTTGGAGCAGAAGCAGGAGTCTAGAAAGAATATCTTTGCTTCCATTTTGACGAGAATGAAGAACAAAAAGGACGAAAAGACGATTTACGAGGAGAAGGCGGATGGGACGTGGACGATCAAGGAACAGGATTTAGCGTGGAAATATTTTTTTCGTTGGTACAACGCCGTTTTGAAGAGGAAATTTCGTCACAAGGAAGAAGAGAGATTAAGGGATATGGATCCGAGGATGAAACGAGTTCTAGATGTCGTGACTTGGATGGTGGATTGTCAGAAACGGGCTCAAGGATACAATTTTCCCGGCCACTCGTTCACCAAGGAATTCTTATTGAAGACTCGATACAGGGAGGATCGGGAAAATTTTTTTATCAGCTTGAAATTGGAACCCTCGATGATAACTTGAACAAAAGAATTTAAGGAAACTTGGCAGTTTATTGTCAACAATAAGAAGGAAGGAAGACGAATAATAAGAGAAAGGAATTTTTAAGTTATTATTATCACTCGAATATTCGTTAGATCGTCGAGATAGAATTAGAAATGTTTTTAAAAAAAAAAAATGTATAAAAACATTTGATAAATAGTAACGATTATTAAGTCTTCCTTACGAAGATGGCTGAAGTTTTCAATGCAATTTATGTAATCCTCAAACGGCATGATTAATCATCGTCATCGTCGATCAGGAGTAAGTTGTACGCTACAATATAACGGTGGATATAAATAAAAAAATAATAAAAATAAAAATAAAAAAATAAGAAGAAGAATAACGAGAAAATAAAGCAAACGTAAAAGAATTGTAGAAATTAAGTAAATTTATATATACTATATATATATATATATATAGATATATATTATTTTATATACATCGATCTATTTG